TCATCTAGGCCATATTTGCACATATGATTTTTCCAGTCTATATGTAGAATAAGATCTCTATAATTATTGATCTCCCTCTTGGACAAGCTCTCACTATTTCTTTCTTTACGCTTCCTGACACCTCAACCTTACAGTTAGGGAGGTAATATACCAAGCTCACAAGTGATTTCTTGCCTTTACTATTTCAAATCTTCTCCCAAACCGTTCCCACATTCTGGATTCATCCCTCCCAATTGTACCAATACCATGATTAGGTAACAGAGCTATTCTTCTACCATTCCTAGCTTCCTGTCCTCTCTAAATGGCCTGTATCCTTCAATTGTCAGGTCCCAATCCATGTTATCCTGCAGTTACATCTTTGTAATGCCTATTAGATTGTACTTTTGACTCAGAGTTTATGAACTGGAGGCTGAACTACAGACTACAATGCATTACGGTGGAAAAGGTTACCTGGATTCTACCAGAAGGCAGTCACAACAATTAGAATAGGATTTTTTGATTTGTTCAGTGGTCAAAAACAGGTGGGTACTACTATGAATGAGGGAGAAAAGAAGATCCAAAGGGCAGGAGTGTCAGTTGAAACCATCCAATACATTTGAGCTTCTCTCTGGCTATTTGGATGAGAATGGGGCTGCAGGGTGCAAACTGACCATGGCATCATGGTAGAGGAAGACATTCAGGTGGGGGAAGCAACAGGAACATAAACTTAGTAGGTGATAGTATAGTGGGGCAAAGGGGTGTGGTTGGTACTGTTCTTGACAATTCTTTTGGAGTTGATGAGCAGTGAAAATTGTGCTTATAGTTTCATGGGTTGATTGGAAGCCGCGCTGCCTTTGAGGAAGGATTTCCTCAGAGACTGGGAGAAGGTGGCTAGCGAGCAATGGTCAATGATCTTCCTAGCAATGAGGAGTAAGGAGATTCCTCAGTAGTCCGAACAGACCACTCTGTCTCCTTTCTCGATCACGGCAGCATCCCGGAGATTGGCAGGGATTTATTATTTGTCGCAGATTTTCAGGAACAGTTGATTGAGATTACAGGTAAAGTCCACACCTCCAAGTTTGAAAATCTCTGCTGGAATCCTGTCTGCTCCTGTGGCTTTTCCATTCTTCATGTATTTAATGGTGACTTCAACTTCTGCTACACTCTTCGAGTTGCAGGATTTTTCCAAACATGTTTGCGGGTGGGTAAGTGGAGCTGAGTCTCAAAAAGATCAGCCATGATCTTATTGAATGGCGGGGCAGGCTCGAGGGGCCGGATGGCTTACTCCTGCTCTTAGTTCTTATGTTCCTTTGGATGACTGTGTCATGGTTTATGAGTTCTTTGAATTGTTCTGTCCATCAGAAGCTGATGCTTCCTCTGTCTCTCAAAAGGGATCCATCCTTACTTTGTACCAGTTTGAGGCCAAGGATGTTAGGTCTGTATATTGCCTCAGTAGCACAGAAGAAATTCAAAATGTCATACTTGTCACCAAGGAGTTGCAACTCCTTGGAATTCTCAATTCACCATTGGTTCTTGACTATTTTCTTGTTCTTCTTTGTAACTCTGCCTTTCCTGTTTGATGAGTTCTCCCCTTTATCTCACTGGTGATGATGCTTATACTTGAGGAAATATTGGGTGTATGTGATTGAGGGGTGACAATAATCATTGGTGACTTTAATGTACATGTAAACTGGAAAAATCAGATTGGCAGTAGTAGCCTGGACAAGAAGTTCATAGAATATTTTCAACATACATTCTTAGATTATTATGTTTTGGAATAGGTTATATTAGACTTGATATTGTGTAATGTAACTGCATTAATTAACAATCTTAGAGGTAAGGCACACCAATGTAGTAGTGACTATAACATAACCAAATTGCTTATTTAGTTTGAAAGAGAAAAGATTGGGGCTATGACTTGCATTGTAAAGTTATGTAAGGGCAACTGTGTGGGCCAGAAAGCTGAGCCAGTTGAAGTGAACAGACATACTAGAGTAGGAAATAAATCAATAGGCACAGTCCATAGATTTAAGAATATATATCAGAATACTCAGAATAAGTATATTCTCACTATGAAGAAAAATTTGATAGGAAAGTCCCACCATCTCTGCTTAAGTAAAGATATTACTGAAAGCACTAAACTTAAAGAAAAAGCATATAATTGCGCGGATGACTGGCAGATCAAATGATTCATCAGGATATAAAGAACAGCAGAGAGTGCCTAGGAGGTTAATCAGGAAGAAAACAATTAGAGTACGAGAGGAATCTAGCTAGGAATGTAAAAATGGATTACAAGAGTTTCTATAGAAAAGGAAAAGAGTAAGTAAATTGAGTGTTGGTCCTCTAGAGAGTGAGAATTCAGAGTTAGTAGTCGATAATAAGGAAATGGCAAATCAAATGAACAAATATTTTGCTTCTGTCTTCACCAGAAAGGATACAAAATGCATTTCAGTAATAGCTGTAAATCAGGAGGTGGAAGGGAGAGTGGAACTCAGTGAAATTGCAATCACAAGGGAAGTGGTACTAAGCAAACTGATGGTGTTGCACCAAGTCTCTGGATCCAGCTAAACCTGAACCTTGGGTATTAAAAGAGGCTCCTCTTTTAATTTCCCAAATTATCTCTGTTGCCCTTCTTAAACAAAGAAACAATATTGGTCATTCTCCACTCTTCTGGGACCCCACATGTGACTAAAGAGGATACAAAGATTTTGTACAAGGTACAAACATTTCCAAAGATACAAAGATTTCCACAGTGCCTCCCTAATTTTGTCATAGTTAGCCTTCTTCTAACATGTGGGTTAATGGATTGCTATTCTTTATTATGTGAGGAATTAAACATAAAAGTAAGGATATCATGTTTGAGTTTTCTTGGAGCTGCACCCATCCAGGCAAGTGGAGAGTACTCCATCGCATTCCTGACCTGTGCCTTGTAAATGTTGGAAAGATTTTGAGAAGTCAGGAAGTGAGTTACTCACCACAGAAATCCTAGTCTTCAACTGTCATAGTATGCAGATGGTTGGTCTAGTTTAGTTTCTGGTCAATGGTAATTCAATGGTAACAATATTGATAGTGGAGGATTCAGTGATGGTGATGCCATCAAATGTCAAGGGAAGATGGTTAGTTAGACTTCCGCTTAGGCATGGACTCTGCCTGGCATTTGGATAGCATGTATTTTACTTGCCACTTTATCTTAAGTGCCGTGAATGTCCAGCACATTGGGCTAGCAGTGAACATTTCCATTTCTGAAGGAAGGAACATCATTGATGAAGCAGTTGAAAACAGTGCAGTGTAGGACACTACTGTAGTTATACCCTAGGATTGAGATTATTAACCTCCTAGAAACAAAGCCATTTTCCTTCATGCTAGGTACCACTCAAATCAGTACACAGTTTTCCCTCGAGTCCCTCTAATGTTGCTGAGCTCTGGGGTGTCATATTCTGTCAAAAGCTGTCTTGGGTAGTCACTCTTACCGGGAATTCAGCTCTTTTGTCTATATGTGTACCATAGCTTTAAAGAGGTCAGGAGATGTTGCACAAATGGAATCTAAAGTGACAATCAGTGAGTAGGCCACTACTGACCGCATGCCATTTGATGGTACTGTTGACAACACCTCTTATCATTTTGCTATTGACTGATAGGGTATATACCTTGTTACCCAAATGACCAAGCCTTCAAATAAAATTATTCAAATTATTGTTTCATTAATGAACTATTATTACATTTCCATCTAAATCTAGTGACTAAAATACAGGGCACAATTTTATCTTCCAATGATTACTGGTAAAACAAACCTATATGCATAATTTCAAATTAAAATAATATAACAAATAGTAAAAGTAATTAAAATACATCAGTAACACAAATAATTATATGCAAGCATACACATTAATGTGATAAAACATGAAATGTCTACTTTATTTCTAAATACTACATACAATATATAATTAGCAGTTTTGGTATTTTATACCAATATTCAAGGGATGAGACTGGTCGCAAGTAAAACCTGTAACATGATCAGGTTCTGCTGTTTCACAGTTCCTCAAAAATACAAACTAAATGTTAAGACATTGATCAAATGATATAATACACAAATTGATTCCATCCAGCTACACTTCACAGATGTCCTTAGTCACTAGGGTTAGGCATATTGGGATCAGTTTGTTCACTTGGGGTTGGACAGATGGTTTGAAACACAGAGTGATGCCAATTTCAGGTTCAATTCCCACACCAGCTGAGGTTCCCATGAAGGAGTCTCCTTTGCAACCTTTCGACTCGCCTGAGGCAAGGTGACCCGCAGGTTAAACCATTTCCAATTGCCTCTCTCCAATCAGAGATCAGCGTGATGGTCCAGCAGGTCTATGGTGACTTTATTAGGTATTTGAATACTCCATCTAGCTTCTGATTCATTCTTAATTCATCCAGTAATAGAAGCATTTAAATAATATAGTTTAACAGCATTTTATGGGATTATATTTCACACTTTCCTAAGAATGCTAAATACATTTAACACATACACACACACACACACACACACACACACACACACACACACACACACACACACACACATCTTAGATTTCAATGCCTGCAGATTTCAACATCATAATCTGCCTTTCACTAACCCTGACTTGCTACTATTACTTTGATATATCTGCCATTCTGATCTTTTTTCAAACAGATGTTGTCCTCTGCCAATCAGGACTGTTTTCAAATTCACGTGTGGCAAATTTCCTTGAAGAAACTGCAAGTCTTCTAAGAGGATTATTCTTAATCTTCACAACAAAACCTTACACAAGCAACACATAATTTTTTGTAATATAAAGATTCATCTTCAGGATGTTAAATCTGGTTCAAAATAGAGATTGCTTAAAAGCCAGAATCTGTCATATAGAAGACAAGTGATTATAATCAACACTTCAGATCGTAGCAAAAGTAACAGCATTACACTGTGAAAAATGCAGGCGGTTACAACATAATATAATGGAAATTTCAAAGTTACAAGTGAAAAGAGCATTGTTTACCTTCTGAATCAAGTCTTCATAGTCAGTTTTCTGCACATCACTTACTTTCTTCAGTTCAGAATCAACATCTTTTAACTGAAGTATTGAAAAACAAGTGTTCAGGTGGCTTATAAAAGGCCTGGATGTTGCAGTTGTATGACAGCAAATCTGCCAGAGCTTGCCATAATTACAACTGTAAAAGTGATAGCTACTTCTAGTCTTTGCATAGGCACAGTTAAATATGGTAATCCAGAAATTGATGTTAAACGGTGCAACAGTCCAGACTCAATTGATGGTGATGCTTAAAAAGTGTTCAAATTATGTGATTTTTTTACTTGCATACTATTAATCTCACTGTAAAAATACTTGAAAAAGTTACTCATCACCAAATGAGGGTTAACTAGATTTTTATTGGCATATTACATTTCTAATTATATTTGAACAATCTCTCTAGCCCTGAAAAGCTAATGTGGAATATCAAATTTTTCCATTAGGATGAGAAAATTAATTCCACAGATTCTAATAATTATTTTAGTTATTTGATATTTCAGCCTCTACATGAGCATGAGCTCCTTTGAATCTTTATTTTGCTGTCTTGTAAAGTAATTTTAAAAAGTGAAATATAGTCAATGTTTTTACTTTGAATAATTCTCACAGACAGCAAATCACAATGTAACTGTGGCTTAGCTTAGTTGATTACTCCGTTCTTTCTGGAAGTCAGAATGTATTGAGCTAACCCTGGAGTCAAATAACATTTTTAAAAGTTAAATCTGTGTCACAAAGACCTAGTAATTTTGTCATAAATTTCAGCAGCAAATACCATCGCTTTGTCACCAATACAACATTCAGTTCAGTGGTTGCTATGTAATCAGAAAGCCAAATAAAATGCAAAGGGGAAAGGAAATTTAATTGTTTCATTTCTCATTAAAAACCAACTGTTTGAAATATTTTGTAATGCATACATTCTGGACCAAAATAATATTAATTTTAAACAATACTCAATGTTGACAACCGTGATTTCATTACAATTTGGATTTATATGGGGAATATTATATAGTCTACAGCAACTTTTGTCCTTAAATAGGCTGTGGGTGCTCACTTCTAATTTCAATGATTTGGGTTGCTTATTCTTTTCCTTCACTTCATGAACTGAATTTGGAGATTACAATGTAATATAGGTCAAAAAAAGTAGTTTTCAGCAACATTTATAAAAATTATTTCCAGGAGTGACAATACATAATGGGCTGCCTCAGTTTTAAATTTCTGGTGAGTCGTTTTGCTTATGCTCGGTTAATGTCCAAACTATGAAAAGTACGATTGTAAACTCTTAAATAATATAAACAATGTGTAAGGGAAAATTAAGCTAGAAACTATAACATGAATAAGTTGCTGGGCAGGGATGGGTGGTGGGATGGGATGGAGAAAGATGAGGAAAGTAAGTCTACAGTAAGATCTCATTTAAGGCTGCCTTACTTAACATGGTTTTGGTTTAACACAGGTAAATTAATGGGGCCTATAATCTCATTGAGCAACATGAAATTCATTTCAACATTGTTTTCTTTGTGTTGTGCAGTCTTTCTGATGTCTGACCTACCAACATAGTCAGCTTCAAACAGTCACCAAACTACTTGTATTCAAACTTTTGTTATTAAATGTTATTTGGATTTTGGAACAAAGACTTGAGAATCAGGCAGTCTTTATCCTGCTGTGGGATTTCTCTGTGAACGTGTTAAACAATCAATCAATCAAGGTGAGACTGTGATGCAGCATTTTACAACAGCACTGTGGGAATAAAGTTCCCACCATCTGGTTGTGCAGGTCTGTAGACACATCATTCGAATGCTGACTCCCCTGAGCATGGAGGACACCACTATGTCATGGAATGGGTTAGTGAGTTTAAGATAAAAATAGCTGCTGCTTTTCTACTGTAAGGAGGATCTGGACTCACATTTTCACAACTCTGGAGCTTTTTAAAGGAATGCAGGTCGTAACATGTGAAAAGCACTTTTATATTTTGTTCAGTTTTGCTCAGGAGCTCAGCATTGCTTCTGCACTGAACAAATCTGACTTACCTGGCTAAAGTTTGCATTAATATTGAGATAGTCCAGTGAATCCCTTATGTTGTCACAATGTATAATTGCATCAGGTACTTTGCAAGCTGCATCATTCAATGTGTTGTTGAGACTTGTTCGCACATCGGTCAAGTTTGCCTGAAGTTTGCTAGTTGCGTTATCTAACATTTGATGCGAGGTCGCCACCTTCTCTAAAACTTCCTTGGTTTCATTGATGGCTGAAGATATAAAGAATTAATCAAAAATTATTTCATTTGCTATTGAATACAAACTTTATCTTGGATGTCAGCTGGTTGGACAGAATTCAGCATATTTCAACTTTGCATTCAGCAAATTCTTCTCAGACAGAAAATAACATAGAGGTTTTACTTGAAGTTATTTTGAAAAATCAAGTAATCTTCTCTGCTGTACATATTCAACTGTGTTCAAGACTAATTATTTGTATCACCCTTTTTGACATTGTCTCAACTCATTGATTACTTAAACTCCTGTGTAGTTTAACCTCTAGGCTTGATAAATTGAAATGATCTTCTAGTTAACCACTTATTTTCTACCTGTCATAAACTAGAACTCATCCAAGATATTGCTGCTCATAGCTTCATTTGCACCAAATTCTGTGAAACATCACTCTTGTGCTTGCTGACTGCTGAGACTCCCATTCTGCCAACAGCTTGATCTTAAAATTTTCATCTTTGTCTTCAAAAGCTTTCATGGCCTCACTGCTCTTTGTCTCTGCAAACTCCTTCAGCCTACAATGTTTATATTTTTAAATTATTCACTCACAGGGTATGGGCAAAGCTAGCTAGGCCAGCATTCAAAGCACATCCCTAGTTGCTTGAGAAGGTGATAGTGAACCATTTGGTGTAGGTAAACCCACAACGACATTAGGGACGGAGTTCCAGGATTTTGACTCAGCGACCCTGCAGAACAGTGATGTATTTTCAAGTTTGGTTGGTGAACTAGGAGGGAAACTTTAGAACTTGATTTTGTTGTCACATGTACTCAAGTACAGGGGTACAAGAGTACAGTGAAAATTGTACAAAGTTTCTATTCCCGGTGCTATTTTAAGTACATAGGTACCTAGGTACAAAATCGAAGGTACAAAGTAGAAAGAAAGTTACAAGTTCAACCGTACAGTCCTTCTTAAGTGCTTAGCCATGCTGACCTCGTAATCCCCACAAGGGTTTGATCTCCTCTGCAGTGGGATCCTCTACCACAAAATGGGCTTGCTCTCCCCATTTGGGCTTGACCTCCTCCCCGCTCGATGTTGTCGCAAATGCTATAAAACCTCGGGCTGCCTGTTCTTGCCACCACCTCAGGATGCCTGCTTACACCGCTGCCTTGGGCTGCCTGTTCATGCTGCTGCCTCGTGCCACCTGTTCTCACCACCACCACACAAATCAGGTGGCCTCTCTAGCCTACATGCTGGCTTGATCTCCTCTGCATTGCACAAACTCACTCTCCACAGAAGGTAAGTAGATTAAAGTAAGAACGACTTGCAGGTGGTTGAGTTCCCAAATATCATAGAAATATATAAGATAGGAGCAAGATTGGCCATTCAACTCCTCAACTTTACTCTACCATTCAATATGACCATGGCTGATTATCAAGCTCAATACCCTAATCCCACCCTCCCCATATGTCCCTTGATCACTTTAGCACAAGAGCTACGTTGAGGTTGCTTGGCTTGCCGAGCTGGTTTGTTGTTCCGCAGATATCTCGTTGCCGTGCTTGGTAACATCCTCAGTGCAGCCTCTGATGAAGTGTCGGTGTGTTTTCCCACCTGGTTTTTAAACTCTGCGGTCCGTTGCGATGGATTGCCTCATTTCCGGGTTTCCTCCGTAGTGGAATGTATATGGGGTCGAGTTCAATGTGTTTATTAATAGCCTGCTTCGTGGAGTGCCATGCTTCCAGGAATTCTCGTGCTTGTCTCTGCCTAGCCTGTCCCAGGATCTTGTGTTGTCCCAGTCGAAGTCGTGGTTCTCTTTGTCCATGTGGATTGAGATGAGTGAGTATTGGTCGTGTCTTTTTGTAGCCAGATGGTGTTCATGTACTCTTGTTGTTAGTTTCCTTCCTGTTTGTCCGATGTAGTGTTTCTCGCAGTCCTAGAGTTTAAAAACCAGGCGGGAAAACACACCGACACTTCATCAGAGTGTGCACTGAGGATGTTACCAAGCACGGTAACAAAACGTCTGCAGAACAACAAACCAGCTCAGCGAGCCAACCAACCTCAACACCCACAACCCGAGCTACAAATCGACTCCAAAACCTTAGACAAGAGCTATGTCTACCTCTTTCTTGAAAATTATCTGCTGCCCTTGTCCTTCTAGATGGTAGTCATTGTGGATTTGGAAGGTGCTGTCTAAGGGTGAATTTCTGCAGTACATCTTGTAGATGGCGCACACTGCTGCTAATGAGCATCGGATTGAATGTTTGTGGAAGTGATGTCAATCAAGTGAACTCTTTTATCCTGGATGGTGACAAGATTCATGAGTACTGTTGTAGTTGTACTCATGCAGGTAAGTTGGGAGTAGGATCACAGAATCCTTACAGCACAGAAAGAGGCTGTTCGGCCCATCAAGTCTACGCTGACCCTGTGAAGAGCATCCACCCAAACTCAGTCCCCTTTCCCCAAATTCCCACATTTCCCATGGCTAATCCAGCTATACAGCACATACCTGGATACTTTGGACAATTTAGCATGGGCAATCTACCGAACCTGCACATCTTTGGCCTGCAGGAGGAAACCAGAACACTCGGAGGAAACCCATGCAGACACAGGGAGAACTTGCAAACTCCACTCAGTTGCCCAAGGCTGGAATCAATCCCTGGCCCCTGATGCTGTGAGGCAGCAGTACTAACCATTGAACCACCAACGCTGAATTTCATCACATTCCTGACTGTGCCTTGTAGATAGTGGACAGGCTTTTAGACTTAGAAAGTGAGTTACCAACTGCAAGATTCCTAGCCTCTGACATGCTCTTGTAGCCACAGTACTTGTATGACTACTCCAGTTCAGTTTCTGATCAATGGTAACCCTCAGGATGTTGCTGGTGGGGGTTTCAGTGATGGTTACAGCATTGAACATCAAGGGGTGATGGTCAGATTCTCTCTTGTTGGAGATGGTTTTTGCATGCCAGTTTTGTGGTGCAAACATTATTTGATACTTTTCAGCTCGAGCCTGGAAATTGCCCAGGTCTTGCTGCATTTGGGCACAGACTGAGGTGTTGTGAATGATGCTAAACATTGTGCAGTAATCAGTGAATATCCCCTCTTCTGACTTTATGATGGAGAATATGTCATCGATGAAACAGCTGAAGATGGTTGGACCAAGGACATTACCCTGAGGAACTCCTGCAGAGATGGCCTGGAGCCGAGATGATGGACCTCCAACCACAGCCAAGTTTGTGCCAAAGCTGTAATGAAGTCAGCAGTTGAATGGCCCTTGCAGAACCCAAACTGGGCATCACTGAGGAGATGCTGCTTGGCAGCACTGTTGATGACACCTTCTATCACTTCACTGATGATCAAGAGTAGACTGGGTTGGAGATAGCAAGAACTGCAGGTGCTGGAGTCAGACACAACACAGTATGGAGATGGAGGAACACAGCAGGCCAAGCAGCGTCAGAGGAGCAGGATGTTGCCTGGCCTGCAGTGTTCCTCCAGCTCCATCCTAGACTGGGTTGAATTTGTAGAACAGGACATACCTGAGTAATTTTCCACATGGTTGGGTAGATGCCAGTTTTGCAGCTGTACTGAAATAGCTTGGCTAAGGTGCAGCAAGTTCTGGACCATAGGTCTTTAAGACCATAAGACATAACAGCAGAAATAAGCCATTCAATGAGATCTTAGCTGATCTGATTACACTCAAATCATTGGTCTGTTCCCAATCTTCCTCCTTTGATCCCTTAATCCCAAGTACTATATTCAATTCCTTCTTGAAATCAGTGTTTTGGCCTCGATCGCTTTCTGTGGTAGCGAATTTCACAGGCTCACCACTCTCTGGGTGAATAACTTCCTCCTCATTTCAGCCCTTAATGGTTTATCCCATACCATGATGCCTGGTTCTGAATCCTCCCAACCAAACTCATTGGGTACACCCTTCTTGCATCTACCCTGACTTGTCCTGTTAGAACTGTATAGGTTTCTATGAGATTTCCCCCTCATTCTTCCGAACTCCATTGAATGTAATACTAGCCAATTCAATCTCTCCTCATACATCAGTCCTGCCATCCCAGGAATCAACGTGGTAAACCTTGGCTGCACTCCCTCTATAGCCAGAACATCCTTCCTCAAGGATACCAAAACTGCACATAATATTCCAGGTGTGATCTCTTTAAGGGCCTGTACAACTGCAGCAAGACATTCCTGCTTCTGTACTCGAATCCTCTCACGATGAAGCCCAACATACCGTTTGCCTTCTTCACCACCTGAGGCACTTGTACGCTTACTTGTAGTGACTGATGTTCAAGGACACCCAGGTCTCGTTACACATTCCCCTCTCTCAATTTGTAGTTTTCATATGTAATCTGTCTACCTGATTTTGCTACCAAGGTGGATAACCTCACATTTATCCACATTTTATTTCATCTGCCATGCAGTTGCCCACTCACTCTGCTTGTCCAAATCACACTGAGTATCTCTGTGTCTTCCTCACTGCTTGTCCTTTCACAGATCTTTGTGTCATCTGCAACATTTGGAGATATTGCATTTAGTTTCTCATCTAAATTACAAATACATATTATGAATAGCAGGGGTCACTGCCTGTCATTAAGAAAAGGACTCCTTTATTCCTATTCTTTGTTTCCTTTCTGCCATCCAAGGTTCTATCTATCTCAAAACACTATCCCAATCCCGTGTGTTTTAATTTTAAGTCCTAATCGCTTACGTGAGACTGTGTAAAAAACCATATGAAAGTCCAAATAAACCACATCCATTAGGCCTTTCCATCAACTGTACTAGTTACTTCCTCGAAGAATTCCAGTAGATTTGTCAAGCATGATATTTCTTTTATAAATTCATGCTGACTCTGTTTGATCCTACCACTGTTTTACAGGTGCTCTGCTATTAAAATAGGTCCACAGTGACACATCAATGCCCCCCAAAGTCTTGAGTTGTTTAAAGACTATTCCATTTAGCATGGTGATAGCTCCACACAACAAGATGGAAGGTATTCTCAACAAGAAGATAGGAATTCATTTCCACAAGCACTGTGTGG